TCTGTTTTCAAACAATGCTAAAAATTATTGCTATTGGTACTGGTGTTCAAAAGAGGAGATGGTTCATTTGTTGAACCATTAGTTAGAGAAGGTGATATGGTTATTGTTTCACCAAGAGCAAGAGCTATTCCAATTCCAATGGGAGATAAAACTTATCAACTTATTACTGAAGGTGATATTTTAGGTATCATCGAAAACTAAAAAAAATATATATAAAATAAATAAATAAAATAAAACAAATAAAAAAAGTAAATAATATAAAATTTAAAAAAAAAAAAAAAGAAGAAAAGAAAAGAATTTATATTATCTTTATTATTAATATGTCATACATAATCTATTTATATATATAATTATTATTTAAATTTTTTTGTTTTTTTTTTTTTTATTTTTTACTTTATTATTTATTTATTTAGACAATAGGTCTGGTTGCAGCTTCAAAAACCATTAAAATATTATCACCCTTTAATAAAATTTGACCCAATGGTTTCTTTGTTTTCTTTTTTAATGAGAATTCAAATGCATTATCTAATACTAAATTCATATATTCATCGAGACCCTAAGTTTTTATTAAATAAAATAGATTTGATTAGTAAATTAAACTATTAATGTAATAATGGATAGTTAAAATTATAAAATACTTACAATAATAACACCTTGAATTCTTGTATCTACATTTTCATAAAGCATAATTTGAACTTCTGTTTTTTGTGTTAAAAATTTAAAAATAAGGGTCTATATATTTATAATAGTATAGTTTTGGTTAGTATTCCTGTTGGTTTGGGGGTTTTGTATTTTGAAAACTTACGATTGGTTTAATCATAACAGATTTTTGTTGTCTTGCACTCATTTTATTTTATATATATAAATTTATATTACAACTATACAGAAAAAAGGTTTATTGAGGATAAATAAAAGGTAAAAATAAATAAGTTGATTATATTGAAACTGGGTTTAAAAATGTTTAATTTGTTGTTTATTATTGGTTTAAATTAATCTTTATAAACTTTAGAAATTTTATCAATGAATTTCTATTTTTTTTTTTTTTTTAAAAATTATAAAAAAAATGAAAAAAAATTTAATTTTTTTTTTTTTTTTTTTTTTTTTTTGGAAATATAAAAATATAAAATAAAATGATTATAAATAAAATAATTTTAAAGAAATAGTTATATTTGTTTTTTTTTAATTAAATAAAATAGGTTTTTTTTTGGTTTTTATTTTTTTATTTTTTTTTAAATAATTTAGTTATTTTTAAATTATTTACATGTTACCGTGACCGATTGTGTCGGCTTTATTTAAATGTTCACCGTCAACAGCACTTGTGGTTGTGGTAGTTTTAGTGGTGGTAACTTTGGTACCAGAACCTGAGGCCTCTTCTTTAGTTTCAATGGTTTCTTTTTGGAGGACTGGAACTTCTTTTTCCATGTTTAATGGTTTATCCCAGTTGGTGTGTTCTTGATGAAGAGTTGATTCAAGCATATTTTCGCTCATTTCTGGTTTTTTCCAATCTGGAAGATCAATGAAGCCAAAATCTTGACGACCTTTATCAAAAAAGTCATCAAGAGCATTCATTAAATTACGGAAAGCTTGTGGAACTTGTTTTTCAGTTCTGCCTTCAATATCAGCCATAAGTTGTTGATATTGTGTGAAACTAGCTAAGAAAACTGATTGGGCGGTGGTCATCTTGTTGTAACGAGCATGGGTTTTTTGTTCAGTTTCGTGAAGTTGTGGTTTATTGTAAATGGTTAAAGCATCTTCATAGGCCAATTTATCTTTGTGTGTTTTGGCGTCTTGGTCTTCAATGTTCTTGATATGGAACTTATAGTTATCAGAGATTTCATTAAAGTAATGATCTTCAACATTGTCATATAAATTCTTTACATTGTTATTGAAAAGATCAATGTATCTTGAGACTTTGGAAAGATTTTCACCTTCTCTATGGTATTGAGTTTCACCAAAATTCTTATAGGTATTTGATAAAAGTTCACCTTCTACCTTCATTCTTGCCAATGAATCCATCCATGATTTTGAAGCTTCATACAATTCTCTATAATCTCTTTTTAATTTTTCAGTTTCCTTTAAAAAAAAAAAAAAAAAAGTTTAAAAATAAATTAGTAATTGTTTTTTTTTATTTTTTTTTATTTTATTATTATTACTTACTTGTTGGTAAAGAATAACATTTGGATGTTCCATGTTTTCTTTTTTGAAACCGAAAACTTCTCTAGTTCTTTCTCTTGTGGCTGACATTTTTAAAAAATATTATTATTGTTATAAATATAGTAATATTATAGAATAAAGTATTATTATATTATTATTGTGTTTGAAAATTATCTTTATTTTTTTTATAAAAAAGATAATTATTATTTAAATATAAAAAAATTGTTTGGTGGAATGAAAAAAAAAAACATTGAAAACATTTATATATGAAAACATAAAACAATTACAAAAAATAAATTTTAATTTAAAAAAAATAAAGGATCTGTATCCTTTATTTTTAGTTTTTCTTTGTTTTTACATTTTTTACTAAATAAATCAATTTGATTTAAATATAATTTATTTGATATTTTATAAGTTCCAAAAAAAGAAAACATTTATAATTAAAAATTAGTAAAAACAAAAAAAAATATTTTAAAATTTTTATTTTAAAAAAAATAAAAAATTAATTTTAATTTTAATTTAAAAAAATTAATTTTAATTAAATATAATTAAATTTAAAAAAAGAAATTCAATTACTATTCTGGGTAAGAGATTTTAAAATATCTGTTCTCTTTTTAAGTACATGATATTACACTGAGAAATCATTAAACATCAAATATTAATGAATAAAAAATTTTATATGAAGGATAATAATAATTTCAAAGTTAAATTAAGAACAAAATTAAAAATAAGAAAATAAAAAAATAATTTAAATATATTATCTTTTTTAGTTTTTATGAATTTACATAAATTGGTTTTTTAAATTTTTTAATTTTTTTTATTATTTTTATTATTGCTATTATTTATTGTTTTTTAAAGTTATTTAAAATCTTTTGATTGCATATACATGGGGTATACCAATAAAGTGTTTAATTCCAACAGAGTAGTGTTTGGCCTCTAATAATTTACAGATGAGAAATTGGGTCCAAACAAATACACCGAGACCCGAGAGAATATGCCAACAACTGTGAAGTTCTAATCCAAAAGTAGTTCCATTATTACAAAAGAAACGTTCAACCAACTAATAGTATAATTTAAAAAAAAATTGATATTAATAATTTAAAAAAAAGAAAAAAGTGAAATAATTAAAAAACTACTTACCCAACAAACATAAGCGGTTAACATTGAAACAAAAGAGTACTTATATAAATATCCATCGTGAGATTTTGGTAGTCCTTCTGGTTTCTTTTTATTGAGTAAATAAATTGAATGGAAGACAACATAAAATACTAAAATACCGTAACTAATTTGAAGAATTTTTGGTTGGGTTGTTATAACGAATAGACAAACGGTGACCAATGTACCATAGGCAACTAAAAAATATGGTAGTACATGACGTACAATAGAGTTTCCTAAACATCCACCTTTGTAACCATTTTTTGTTTTTTCTTCACCGACAGTAACCATAATATATAGCATGATTAATGCAGTGTATATCATTGGTAATTCATCGAATAATTGATTTTCGTATAAAAGAGTTGCATGAAAAGCTACTGAGCCAATACCAACTAAAAATAAGAAAAAGAATGCAATATTTAAACGTTTTACAAAACCCAATTGATTTATAACTTGAATATGATAGGGTGAGGTTGATCTCTTTGAATAATTTAAATAAATACCATAGATTGCATATAAGGATATTACAAATGATGAAATTGAATTCCAAAATTCTGCTATATATCTTGATTTTATGTAATTTAATTCGCACCAATCTATATTTGAGGTTACTTTACCCCAATAGTAATCAGCTTGATATGCTGCATTTGAGTCCATTTTATTATTATATTTTAATTTTATTTGATTTTATTTAGATTTTTTATTTTATTTTATACTATTATTATTACTATTATTATTATTATTATAATTAATTGTACCTTGTTTTTTTTAATTTTTACAATTTATTATATATCTAAAAAAAAAAAAAATAAAAAAAATAATAAAAAAAAATTAGTTAGATATAAAATATCGAAAGATTTTTTTTTTTTTAAATGTCTATTTTATTATTATTTAAATGAATTTAATATTATTTTTATTATTTTATTTTTTTATTTTTAAATATTTTTTTATTTTATAAAATTAATTTTAAATTATTTTTTTTTTGTTTTTTTGTTGGTAGAATATATATAGTAATAAAATTTTATTTTTTTTTAATTAAATTGTTATTAATATCAAAATCCATTCTTTATAATTTTATTAGATTGAAAGTATAAATATATTTAAATTTAAATTTTTATTATGATATTTTTAAAAAAAATAAAAAAAAAATAAAAAAATAAAAATAAAAAAAAAAAAACAAGAGAATGTGTTTGAACATAAACCAAGTGTGTGAATGAGCAACGAAATATTTTTAAAAAAGTGTGTTGTAAAAGAGTGAACAATTGGAGTGTTTTAAGAGATTTAAATTATAATATACCTTTATATAGAAATAAAAAAATTTATATTTATATTTATTTGTTTATTTATATATTTATTTATATATTTATATTTATATATTTATATTTATTATTTATTTATTATTTATTTATTTATTGTTTCATATTTACAAATTTTAAGAAAATATATTTTATAAAAAATAGAGAAAAAAAAAAAGGAAAAATAAAAAGAAAACAATTTTTTTAAAATAAATTATAAAAATTAAAAAATAATTAAGTGAAAAAAAAAAATTAAAAAATAAAAAAATAGGTATGATCGTTTTTTAAATTAATTTAGAAAAAGATTTTGTTTTTTTGTTACTATTTTTAAAAAATTGAGTATTTATTTATATTATTATTTGTTATATAAAAGTTTTGATATAAAAGTTTTGAACAATATATTTTATTTCATTTTGATTTTATTTTATTTATTTTGATGATTTTATTTTCCAAATACCCAAAAGATATCTCATTCTAATACGAAGAATATCTTTAGCCATTTGAATTGAACTTGAGAATGGATCTAATTTTGAACCATCGATTTCAGTCCAATTGACAGCAACTTCAGCAATTGGAATATTTAATTTTTGTGCTAAATATAAAATTTCGACATCGAAAGCCCATCTTTCAATATGTAAAGTTGGGAAAATCTTTTTAGATGTTTCTCTGGTGAATAACTATTAAATTGTAGGAAAAAAAAAAAAAACATTAATATAAAAATTTATTAATGTAATTAAAAATAGTTTTGTGCTTACTTTAAAACCACATTGTGTATCTTTAATACCTTTAACACATAAGGTTTCAACAAAAATATGGAAACCATACATTAATACATTTCTTAATAATGATCTTTTTGCAACTAAATCACTATCTACAAGATGTGATCTACTACCACAAACAATACCATTTTCGTTCTTTTCAATTTTTTTCATATAATCCTCGACTCTATTAAAATCTTTAAAGTCTGTTGCACCATCAGCATCAACCATTAAAATATATTTACCTCTTGAACATAAAACACCCTAAAATAAATATAGATATTAATATCTTTTATATTGTTTTTTATACCACTACTATTATTCTTATTATTTTTATTATTGTTTCGTTAACCTACTCTTTTAACAGCACCACCTTTACCTCTATTTTTCTTTAATTTTAATAAACGAATATTTGATTGTGGTGATGATTCAATGTATGAAGTTACTAATTTGGCTGTATTATCTTTACTACCATCATCGACAATAATAATTTCATAAGTGAATTTTAATTCCTTTTTTGATTTATCGTTTAAGAATTTTAATGTTTCGTCTAACATCTATAGATTGTAAATAAATGGGTTAGTTTAATGTTTTTAATATTGCGTTTGTTTGTTTGTTTGTTTGATATAAATATTACTTTTGGTAATCTAACTTCTTCGTTGTATGCTGGAATTACGATTGAAAGGTAAACATTATCATCTTTAATGTTTTTATCCATGATTGATGGAAACTTATGTTCCTCACCTTTCTTTGGATCAACAAAAATATTTTCATTTTCTAACCATAATATACTTTCATCTTGTAAGAATAATAAATAATATGAAAATGCAACCTAGATATAATTTATTTGTAAAAAGGAATATTAGGGTTTGGTACTATAAATGATTTTTATAAAATATATAACACTTACTATTAACACTAATAATACTAATAATATTGGTACGCTAAAAACATTTATGAAAAGTATATTGCTTATTAAATCGATCATTTTTTTTTTTCTTTTATTTTATTTATTATTATTTATTATTTTATTGCTTATTTATTTAAATAATAAAAACGATAAATTAAAATGAATAATTAATAAAATAACAAAAATAATATCAAATATTATTTTTAGAAAATTTCACACACAAAAAAAAAAAATATAAAAAAAATAATTTAAAAAATATAAAAAATATAAAAAAAAAAAAAAAAATAAAAATTAACCTTTTTTTTTTAAAATAAATTAAGAGTCATCCGTAGTCAAATTTTTTTTTAGCCTTTCACAAAAAAAATTTTTTATTTTTTTTTCGTTGATTTAAAACAAAATAATACATGTTTAACCCAAATGTGTTGATTTATTTTGAAACTAATAATTTTACTAATTCGGAAATTATTTTGACATTTAAACTATTACCGATTAATCTGTAACATTGAATCGTTTTTAGTTGTGGTGAGAATTTAAATTCTTCGGGAAAACCATGTAATCTTGTGATTTCTTTTGGTGTAAAATAACGAAGTTTCATTGGTATCAATGATTTGGGATTTGTTTCATCGGCTTTGAATTCATTATCAATTTGAATAATACTGCCTGTTCCCTCAACAAACTTACCATATGATTTTGTGAAACAGTTACAAGTTTTACTTTCTTTTTGCTTGATATCTAAAAAAAAAAAAAAATTAATATCTTTTAAAAGTCACAAAAAAAATAGTTATTCGATAGGTTACCAAAAAGCATTCCTTTTGAAAGTAATAATTTTTCGGGTACTTTATGTTGTTGATAGATTTCATCATCTGTTTTATCAGTATCTAAATAGTTTGACAATGGTTCGCAATCTTCCAGTGTTGAATGATTATATCCAGGTATATAATTTAAAATTTTATATTTATCATTATTATCATTATTATCATTATTATTATTATTTTCATTATTTTCATTATTAATATTATTTACATTTTCATCTTTTTTATCTATTATTGTTTCTTCGATTTCTTGAAAATTAAAAATTGAATTTAATTTTGCAATACAAAAATATCTTAATCTTTGATTTGGTAAATCAAATTGTTGAGGTGTTAAATGAAATTCTTGAAAACTATAATGTAATTGCTTTAAAACTTTGACCAATTCTGTTCTGGTATTTGATTTTTCAAATCCAAAAACATTCTCTATTAAAATGTATTTAGGTGGTGACTTTAATTTACCAATAACATCCAAAAGATGAAAAAAACTATTGGTTCTATTATCTAAATCGTCTTTTTGTAGTCCACTTCTTGTAAATGGTTGGCATGGTGGTGACATTAGCCATGCATTTGATTTAAAGTTATCAATTTCTTCGACAGTTAATGATTCGATATTTTTCTATTATATTAATGAAAATTGTTAATGTTAATATAATTACTATTTTCTACTATTGATATTATATTAAATATTTACTTGGCTTGTATTTTCATTAAATGTATATTTATAGTTTAAAATTGCATTTGTATTAATATCGAATGATTGAACAACCTCAAATTTTACTCCTGATTCCTTTAACCCATAATGCATACCACCAATTCCACTATAAAACTCGAGCACTCTTAACTCCTCTTCATCATTATTATTTGCGTTAGAAGCTGACGTGGTGTTTTCCATTCTATTTTTTTTGGAAAAATGAAAAAAACTCGTTTATCGTATAATTAAAATGAAAAATATAAAAATAAAATTAAAAAAAAAAAGAAAAAAAAATAAAATTTAAAATTTTTATAAATTAAAAAAAATAAAAAAAAAATAAAAAATTAGAAATAAAGATAAAAAGTATATCTTTTTATAGAAGGTGTAAACTTAATATCTATATTTTTTTTGTTTTTTAAAAAAGTATGGTACAAATTTTGATTTGCTTGTTTATTCTAAATTTTTTTTTTTTGGTTTTTTTTTGAGTTTTTGTTTTATATATTTTATTGAAGGGTTAATAGTATATATATTTTTATCTTCCGTATTTTTGGAATTCCCAATCTCTATTATCAAGTGGACAAACTTGTCTAGATTTCAACCAACGTGAAATACAATGGAAGTGGAAAGCATGCTAAAATATTATAAAAATGGTTAGGTATTTTTCTTTTTTTTTTTTTCTAATATATTTTACTTACGTTACAAATACCCCAAGCAACTGTACATTCTTCGCTAGTGTTTGAGGCTTGATTAGCTTGACATTCAATACATAAATCCATAATATGATTTCTACAAATAGCACAATTATCTACAATGATATCTATAAAATATATGAAAAAAAGTAAAAATTAGTTTTGGTTCCCTATTTAATTTGTGTATTTATATTTGAAATCAATGCTATTGAGTGTTATTGTATCTCATAAATTCCTATTAAAACCATTGTGATTAAAATATTATTATGGCTATTATTGTGATTATAAAAATTGTAAACTGTGGTTTATTATATTGGTGCCACTGGTTTCCTATTTCATAATTCCATTATTTAAAGCATATATTGTATTGATTTATATAAATGACTAGTCAATATTTAACCTTACCCCAAATCCATAAAGCTACAGCATTCCATCTTTTAACTTCGAATTTTTTTTTTGATGAACCACCTTTTGTGGCACTTGATGATGATGTTTCAACGTCAGCCATTTATAATGTATAATTTATTTAAATATAGAAAAAGAAAAAAAAAAAAAAAAAAAAGTATTTATATGTTTGTATATATTAAAAAATATTTAAAAATTAAAAATAAAAAAATTTTCTTTTGTGTGAAATTAATAATTTTAAAAAAAATTAAAAAAAAAAAATTACAAAAAAAAAAATTGAAAAAAAAAGAAAAAAAATAAAAAAAAATTTAAAAAATTAATAAAAAAATAAATGAATAAATATTTTCCAATTATTTTCTTTTATTGCAAGCAAGGTTTATTAGTAAATTAAATGATTTAAAATTTTTTATTTGTTTATTTTATTTATTTAGTATAATAATAAATATAAATATAAAAATAAATACTAATATTAATAAATTAAAAAATAAAAAATTTCTAATTTTTAAAATAAATTTAATTTAATTTAATTTAATTAATACGCACACATACTTATTTTTAAATATTTGTTATAACAACCACACCCACCACAACTTGTAGAAACTATTTCTATAACATATGGAATATATTATTGTAAAAAGGTAGGTATTAATAAGTCATTAATCAATTTTTAAAAGAAAAAGAAAAGGAAAAGGAAAAAAAAAGATTAAATTAAATATTTAGTTTAAGTATATGGTTTATTTTTTTTTATTTTTTTTTGTTTTTTTTTTATTCTATTTTATTCTTCTATTGTTTACAAATGGTATCGGAGCATGTACCTGCATAGAGACCATCCATTCTTTGACCAAAATTATTTAGGGCTGCATAGTTTTTATGGTATTCACCTGCTTTAATTTGGTATTGTTCTTTTGGGTACCATTTAATGAAGCATACATCAATTCCTGATTGGAAAGATTGAACATTGTTACGGAACTCGTCAGGTAATTGGACATAGCCATCAGTTTCATTATAGAGATATTGCGAACCTTCAAAATCCCAATGACCATAGATTTTAACCATTTTGTCAGTAATAACACTTGGATCGTTTATGTTCATTTTATTAGAGCCACTGCAACTGCATTCCCCACGACTTGTATCAACTAAACCGGATACCAAGAAGGCACAGATAACTAAAACTAATGTGTATTTGATATTCATTTTTAAAATTTCTTCTTTAATAATTTTATTTGTTAAATTTATTTATTTGCTTGGAAATTGAATACAAGATAAAAAAACTCTGTGCTATTTATAGTTTTTTTTTTTAATTGATTTACATCTACAAATATTTACAAATTTATAGATTTAATATAAACTCTTTGATTTTTTGTTTTATTAACCAACTTTATAATCGAAGAAATGTAATTATTACAAACATAGTATAGTTTTAAAATATCTTTATTTAAAAACCTCTTTCGGTTTTAAAATATATTTATTTAAATTAATAAAAACTAAATTTTTAAATTTAATAAAATTAATTTTAATTATTTAAATTTAAAAAAATAAAAAAAAATAAAAATAAATAAAAAAAATAATTATTAATAAAGGAATGTAAAAAGATCTTGAAGTTTCTACACTTGGATTTTATTTTTATAAATTTTGTGGTTTGGAAAAAAAAAAAAATAATGAAATTTAATACCCCAAAAATAATGAAATTTAATTTAATACATTTTAAAATCGGAACTATATTTAATTTTATTTTATTTTATTTTATTTTATTTATTTTTCTATTTTATTTAAATTTTAAATAATTTAAGCTGTAAAGTTAAAAAAATTAATATTAGAATTTGTCATAGGAGATATAAAAAAAAAAAAAACCAAAGTAAAATAAAACTAATATTTACCATCACATGATCTCCAACCATTGCAGTCACCATTTGAATAAGTGGTCCAAGCATTTAAACCTTGAGCTCTGAGAACGGCAGCAGCACATTGAGCATTAATTTCTGGATTGAATAAATCACTTGGGTGTTTACACATGGTGCAAATTTCACCACAATGCTAAAATTAAAAAAAAAAAAAGTAAAAAGAAACCCGATTAGTATTAACGTTATATAATACACACCACACTTAAAATTATTAAACTTACTTCTGGCATAATTTGCCATAAACCTGAAGCACCACTTGGGTTTTCGGCTATATTTAAAAAAAAATGAAAATTTATTAGTTTTTATTTTTTTGAAAAATTATAATTATTCAAATTATTATAAACATACCGGTTGGGATCCATGATGATTCATAATAAGCAATACAAATCATAGTGGTGGCAGCACTACCGAAATAAGTCTTAGCTAATGACTGCATTTGACCACAGCTGTATTGTGAAGCTGAGGCTGATGATAAAAATAATGAAAAGATGACAACTAATAAAACTTTGAGGATATTCATTTTATATTTATATATTTGTATTAAGATGGTTATTTAAATAAAAAAAAAAGAAATGAAAAAAAAAAAAAAAAGTTAAAAGGAGAAATTTTAAAAAAAACTTTTTTGAAAAAATTTAAAAAAATAAAATAATTTAAAAAAATAAATTTGCAACCAACTAGATATTTTTACCAGGGCCTAGGCAATCACAAAAACCCAAAGCAAAATAATACTTTAACAAAAAAATAAAATGTTTGTTCATCCTTTTTTCTTTTATTTGTGTGTCAAAAACTAAACAATTAAAGATTTTGATATTTTTATATTTTTTATTTTTTTATTTTTTTATTTTTTATTTTTAATTTTTTATTTATTACATAATTCAGTATATTTTGCCATTTTATATTAAAACTTGTCAGAGAGGACTCTTTTACAGGATTACATGTTTTAAGTGTTTCAGTAAAAGTAAGTTTAGTCACTTTATATTAAAAAAAAGTTATTAATTTTAATTTAGTGAATATTTTAAAATTTTGAAATATTGAGTGCTTTTCTTTTGTTGATGGATTTGAGTTATCAACATCGTTCATATAATTTATAATTTAACAAAAACAAGGGAAAAATTTCAAAACAAAATATGTAAAAAAAATTTTATAAATAATTATTATTTTATTTTTATTGTTTTAAAATACAAAAATTATAAATATTTATCTGTATTTATATTTTGATACAAGCCAAGGGAGACACAAATAAATTATGGAAATATCGTGTTGATCAAAATAAATTTTTTTTTTTATTATTTATTTATTTTAATCATATTTTTTTTTTTTTTTTTTGATTAGAAAAAAATTAATTATCATCATTATAAGGATTAGATAAAAATAATTTAAAAAATTGGTTGGGTGAAAAATAAAAAAAGTGATCCTTTTTTGGTGGAAATTCGGATAGAATTCAGATAACAACCAGTCGGAGTAAAAAAAAATAAAAAAATTAAATTAAAAAAAAAAAAAAAAAAATTTTTAGTTCATTTTTTTTATTAATAAAAATATTTTTTTTTTTTTTATTATTATTAAATAAAATAACCCCACACTATATTATATATAAAATGTCAAATAAGATTGGAAACAAATTAAGCATCGACCAAGTTGATGTTAAAGGTAAAAGAGTTTTAATTAGGTAAGATTCAAAAATAATGATGTTAATGATATTTACATTGATATTAATTATTATTATTTTATTTTTTAATTATTTATAGAGTTGATTATAATGTTCCATTAAATGGTACTGAAATTACCAACACCCAAAGAATTGATGCATCAATTCCAACTTTAAAATATTGTTTAGAAAATGGATGTAAAGCTATTATTTTAATGTCACATTTAGGTCGTCCAGATGGTGTTGCTAAAAAAGAATATTCACTTGCCCCAGTTGTACCAGTTTTAGAAAAAGCTTTAGGCAAAAAAGTCGAATTCCTTAGTGATTGTGTTGGTGAAGAAGTTGAAAAAGCTTGTGCCAGTCCAGCTGATGGATCAGTTATTTTATTAGAAAATCTTAGATTCCACGCTGAAGAAGAAGGTTCAGGTGTTGGTGCTGATGGTAAGAAATTCAAACCATCTGGCGAAGATGTAAAGAAATTCCGTGACTCACTCACTAAACTCGGTGATGTCTATTGCAATGATGCTTTTGGTACTGCACATAGAGCCCATAGTTCAATGGTTGGTGTCAATCTCCCACAAAAAGCCGCTGGTTTCCTTATGAAGAAAGAATTAGAATACTTTGCCAAAGCTTTAGAATCACCACAAAAACCATTCTTAGCAATTCTTGGTGGTGCCAAGGTCAGTGACAAAATCAAATTAATCGAAAACCTTTTAGATAAAGTTGACGAAATGATCATTGGTGGTGGTATGGCTTTCACCTTCAAGAAATACATTGAAAACATTGAAATCGGTTCATCATTATTAGAAAAAGATGCAGAACAAATCACCAAAAACATTATTGCCAAAGCTCAAAAGAACAATGTCAAACTCCACTTCCCAGTCGACTTTGTTATTGCTGACAAATTCGCAAAAGATGCACAATCAAAGACTGTTACCCAAGAAGAAGGTATCCCAGCTGGTTGGATGGGTTTAGATTGTGGTCCAAAAACCAACGTATCAAACAAAGAAACCGTTTTAAGAGCCAAAACTATCGTTTGGAATGGTCCAATGGGTGTTTTCGAATTTGATAAATTTGAAACTGGTACCAAAGAAGTTATGAATGCAGTTGTCGAAGCCACTACCAAAGGCGCCATCACCATTATTGGTGGTGGTGATACTGCTACTTGTGCTGCCAAATATGAAACTGAAAAAAAAGTTAGTCACGTCAGTACTGGTGGTGGTGCTTCATTAGAACTCCTCGAAGGTCGTGAGTTACCAGGTGTTACTGCTCTCTCTGATAAAAATTAATAAATTTATAATTAAAACAAATTTTATAAATAAATTATAAAATGTATATTTTTAATAAACAAATAATTTTAAAAAAAAAAAAAAAAAAAAAAAAAAAAGCACAATAGTAAATTATTAAATAAAAAGAAATCTATAGTTTATAATAAATCCAACATTATAATCCAAATAAAAGAAAGTTAAAAAAAAGATCGGCTTTTTAGGTGGAGTATATATATATGTATACATATATATATTTTATTTAAAATCTATAGGCTTCGTGTATGTTTTATATTATTTAAAATTTTTTTTTTTTTTCGTTTTATTTAAAAAGGGTTGTTTTTACATTTCTCTTTTTTCTTTTTCTTGTTTTTTCTTTTGTTTTCTTGACTCTTCTCTTGCTTTCTTTTCTTCTTCGTATTTCTTTCTTTCTTCGATCATGGCTCTTTGTTGTTCTTCGTGTTGTTGTTGCATCTTTCTTTGCATCATATGTTGGAATGCCTCAATGAGACCAATGAAAACACCACCAAATGCTGCGGCTTGGGTTGAAGCTTTCCAACCACCTCTAGCTGCTAAAATAGCACCAGTTAAGGCACCAGCAGCAATTGGATTAACTGTATCTTCTTTCTTTCTAATATATGCTAAACTACAATCAATACCACTAAATAATGTACCCCAAATTGCAAAGTTACCTATATTATTGTATTGTTATTTTATTATTGTTGTTGTTGTATTTTGATTTATTAATCATTATCATCAATTGAATGTGTATTTTTAAATTGTCAAATTAAATGAGTGATGGATGGTTGATAAATTTTTTGTATAATGATAATAAATTATGATTGAATAAATTATTGTTGTTGGGTAAAAATATAAAATAAATAATTGGTTAGTTTGGCTTGATTTTTTTTTTTGTGTTTTTTTTTAAAATTATTATAAATGATGCATACCACCAAATTTAGGAGTCTTTGATCTCATTTTTCTAGCTGTAAATTCTAATTTTAAACCTTTTGGTGATCTTCTTAAACCTGTGATTAAATTAATGGTACCCATTAAAACATAACCAATACCGAATGCACCACCAGCATCTTGCCAAATTTTATCTGGACATGGAGCTTCCATTTTATATATTTATTATTTTATTGTTATATTATAGTGTTGTGTTTGTTTTTATTATTACTATAGTCGTTATAATTACTATTATGTATTTCCTTTACTATTATACTATATTAGCAATTTACAAACTAATGTGTTTTTGAATTGGTAATGATAATATATTAATAAATTAAACTAATTGATAAAATTAATTTGATTTTATGTTTTTTTTTATTATAGTTTGTTTTAAAACCTAATTATATAAAAATTTAAAAAAAAACTTTTAAAATTTAATCAAATAATATTGTAATATTATTTTTGATTAATCTAGAAATGTAATAAAATTAAAATGAAAAAAAAAATTTTAATAATTTTAAAAAAAAACGAAAAAAAAAAAAAAAAATTATAAAAAATTTTTTTAAAAAAAAAATAAAAAAAATAAAACACAATAATTACCTAAAACATTTACCTTCCAATTCATATTCAGCTTTTTTTTCCCTTTTATTATTTTTTAAAATGATTATTAGTTTCCATTCCTATATTATTTACTTTAAAACTATTTAATTTCTTTCTTTCTTTTTTTCGAAAACTTTTATAAAAACATCACACACAGTGTTTTTCCATCCAAATTAATTAAAACAACACAATTATAGTGCATATGAAAAAACTTTTTATTTCATTTTATTAAAATATCAAATTTGGAATGTTATGAGAATAAAAGTTAACATTTATTTTAATGGCATTCCAAATATTTAATATTTTAATATTTTAATAAAATGAAATATGAAATTTTTTGTAATAAAAAAAATAATTATAATATTAAAATAATAAAACAGTTTAAAAAAAAAAAAAAATTATATATTTGATAATTTAATAATAATACAATAATAATACAATAATAATACAATAATAATAAAAATAATAAAAATAATAATAAAATTTATTATTAATAATTAAAAAAAAAAATATTTTATTTTATTTTTTTTATTTTTATTATTTTTTTATTTTTTTTTTTAATTTTAAAAAATTTTTTAAAATTTTTTTTATTATTGTTTTCAAAAGATATTAATATATTTAATATTTGTATATTATATAAATCCCAATTAGTTTTAAATAACAATTATAATTATATTGGTAATAGTAATAACATAACTAAAATCCACCATTACAATACTATTACTTTTTTATTATTATTGTTGTTTTTTTTTTTTTTTTTTTTTTTTAAGCAAAAATAAAAATCTTTTTTAGATAACAATAATAATTTTTTGTGGTTTTTTTATTTTTAATTTATTTATTTTGTTGTTTTCAAATAGTTTTATTAATATAATAAAATAATATTATACAATAATATATTTTATTTGTTTTGGAAAAGTTTGTTGTTGTTTTTTGATTTTTTTTTGTTTTTCTCAATTATTATTAACAGAACAGAAAAAAAAATTTATTTTTTATTTTTTTAAAAAAAAAAGGAAAAAAAAGTAAAATAAATTTCATTTTAATTTTTTTTTTTTATTGTTTTTGTTTAACAATCTAAATGACTACAACAACCACAACAACTACAACAACTTACCAGCCAGGTATTTCAAATAAATCATATGGTCACAACACCTATCAAAATCAATATAATAATTATAATGGCAAATCTTTACAAAATATACATTTAAAACCAAAGTAATTATTTATTTTTTTTTTATTGAATGTAATAGGATTTTTTCTAATAACATTCTTTTTATTTTTAATATAAATATCAATTTTTTATTTTTATTTTTATCAAATAATGATAAATAAAAAATATAATTATAATAATAATAATAAATATAATAAACATAAAAATAAATTTAATTATAATTCAAATAGTGGAATAAATTTAAGTGCCAGTGGAGAGTTAGAACCTGGTCAATATATTGAAGATATTAATAAAAAAAATAATAAATTAAATAGTAGTTCAAAATATAGTAGTAGTAGTAGTGGTAGTAGTAGAAGAAGGAATAGGAGTCCATCAAGAAGCCGAAGTAGATCAAGATCTAGAAGTATATGTAGATGTAGAGTACGTTGTAAAGGTAGATGTCAAACTTCAAGTAGTAGATATAAATCTAGTAGTAAATCAAATGGTAAATCATTGAGAAGTGGTGGCCGTAGTGGTTATAGAAGTTATAGTAGATCAAGATCAAGAAGTAGGAGTAGATCAAGAAGTGGTGATAGTAGATCAAGATCAAGATCATTGAGAAGTAGAAGTAGAAGTTATTCAACAAGTCAAAGTAGATCACCAAGAAATAGTTTAAATGGCAACAGAAAAAGATCAAGATCAAATTCGAGATCGAGTAGAAGCCACAGTAGATCAAGAAGTAGAAGCAGATCAAGAAGATACTCTACTAGTAAGAAATATAGATCACCAAGGGATAAAAAAAGAGATAGAAGCCGTAGTAGATCAAGATCTAGAAGCTTTACACCGGATAGAAATAAAAATAAATATAATAATGGAAAATCTTCTCTAAGAAATAGCCAGCAGCAAATTCCACAACAACCTCCTGCCCCACCTCCGTTGCCCCCAACACCAACTTTAAAAGAACAAATGATGGATATGGATGTAGAACCAACAAATAATACAACTAGTTCAAATAATACAAATAATAGCAGTGGTAATAGTAGTACAAATAATACCGGTGATAATAGTAATAGTTCAATTAGTGATAATAATAATAATGATAACAATAATACAAACAATACAAATAATAGTGATGGTAACAATAATAATAATAATAATAACAATAATAATAGCAATAATAACAATAACAATAGTTTAAATAGTAATGAAAGTTCTCCACAAGAGCAGCAGCAACAACAAAGCTCTCCAATTAAATCAAAAAGTTTTTCAGATAATGAAGAGGAAGAAGAACAAGAGGAGGGAAGTATTAGCCCAATAAGAGAACCATCACCCAAAATTGGTAAATACCAACAAGAAGATATATCGTTTTTAGAAAAAGAATGGAGATTAATTGAAAAAGAGCGTAGCAATAGTAGTCTTGATGAAGAAATGTTTTGTACTGATGAAATCGAGATGGGAGTTTATTCTTCACCAACTAGCTCATCAACAACATCTACTTCAAGTCAAACTAAAATTAGCTCATCATCACCAATAAAATCAAGTGTCGCTTTAAATAGTAACAAAGATGGAAAGAGAGCAAAGAATAGAATTTCAAAAGATTTTCAAATTGTGCAAACAGAACCAATTGATGTATCAAAAATTAAAAAATATAAATCTTTGTTGTGTGGTGATGGATGGTTTTATAAAGGTGACAATCCTACTCAAAAAGAACCTTGTTTAAATTGGATTTTTACAGACTCTGGACCCCCTGTTGATCCAAGAAAAAACAGGAACTATATAAATGTTAGATATGTTTACGATTCCGATAAAAGATAACAATAATCATAATTTTAAATCGGAGGGTCAATTTTAATAGTAAAAAAAAAAAAAAATAGAAAAAAAAAAAGTAACTCTTTTGTTAGCTGTTACTATTATATAAATAAAGAATATATTTATAAAATAAATATATTTAAATTAATAAAAAAAAAGTTTTTATTATATGACATAAAAAATAGCTTTTCTTTAAATGATTTATAAATTTTTAGTTTTTATTTATATATTTAATATATTGATTATATTAAAATTATTATTTGTTTTCATTTTAGATAAATAGAAAAAAAATTTATGGATTATTGTAAAAGCGGTTCAAGTTTGCGCAAATTTGAAATAACAAATGTGTGGGTAAACTTGAACCGCTTTTACAATATTTAAAAAAAAAAAAAAAAAAAGTTGTGTATTAATTATTTGATGAGAAGTTGGATTTTGATTAGTTTATAGTGAAATTATTTGATGGAAGAATAGTATTTAAAATAAATAATGGATTATCTTTGTATAGATGCAGATGTTTTTTTACAAATTGTTTGGTTTCTTCAACACCTCTATCTAAAACTAAACAACCTACTAATGATTCGAAATAATCACCCAGTCTCTTTGGAGGTAATGCTGCTCTTTCTTCATCTGTTATGTTTGGTGGAAGTTTAAGTCTTTTGCTTGCATCGGATAAATTATTATTTCTAACTAAACGTGATCTAAATTCTGTTAATGTACCTTCATTATATTCTGGGAATTCTTTATAAAGATAATCTGCGGTGATATAATCTAAAACACCATCTCCAACAAATTCTAAACGTTGATAGTTTACATTGGTTCCAGATGAAAAAGCCTCCTCTAAAAGAGATGGATGATCTATTCTTAAATCGAGATTAAATAAAAGTGTTCTAAGATCGTGTGATAATACTGTTTCCTCCATTGATGATTGATAAAGTGGTAAACGAACATTTGAATCATTAAATACATAACGAACAATGATTTCATAAGCTTTTTCAAAACCTCTATCTAAGCTAATGGCACCAAATAGTGCTTCAATGACATCGGCATGTGGCTTTTTAATTTCGTCAGAATTTGAAAGACGTAAGATTTCATCCAAATGCATACGTTTTGAAACTTCGATAAGATTATCGTTTTTAATATTGTTTGCTCTTTCCATTGAAAGAGCACCTTCTTTAGAACCTGAGTATTTATAGAATAAATAAATAGAGGACGCGAGCTTTAATACAGAGTCGCCAAGGTATTCTAATCTTTGATTATCACCTAAATATGGATAGTAATCTTTAAACATTGGTAATTCAGAAGGTGGTATAAGTCTATTGGAGGCTTTGGTTGATGGATGGGTAAATGCTTCTCTGAGGATTTTATAGGATTTTAAAGATACAATACGAGTATTAAATTGAGCCAAACGTACACACCAGTTAATTTCTGAATAGAATGGGAGAATAGCAAGTTTACCAATTGAGTGAATGAAACTTGGGATACCGAGAGAACGAACATCTAGCGGATTCTTTTGGAAATATTTGTTTCTCTTAAAGTATGAAATAAAGCTAATTGGCTCGACTGTATTTACTTTATTATATTCAGCCCAACGACTTGGATTTTCTAATTTACCATCTTTATCGAAAAATAATATACATTTTAATTTCCAAAAATCTTCACTAATTTTAGCACTAACATGGGAGCACTTTAAAGTTGGTAAATAAAAAATTGATTCTACTAATCCTGGTTCATCTGCAGCATTAATTAAAATATTTGATTGCTGAATTGGAGATTCTGGTAACACTTGTTCAGGTTCACTTTCGCTGATACTAAAATCGATTTTTTCTTGTGGTGATACACATGTTGCAGAGGTCTGGTTAGTTTTATTACTGGTAGTGTTAACAATTAAACTATTAAAATCGATCTCTCTACATATTGATAAATCACCCGATTTTGTCATTAAAATTTTGTCTAGATAAAATTTGTTTACTTTTTCTTTAAAATTTTCATCGTAAACATTATTATCTATAAACTCTTTGGTTGGGAATTGGTCAAACTCTAATAAATCCATTAAAACGTCGTAGAGAGGTTTGGTTGGTTCTGAAAGACATTGAACACATGGTACGGTATAGTATTTATCGATTTCATGGAAATTTAAATAATTTTGACCTAAAATTTGAGAAAAGAAAAAATTGTGGAAAGTGACGATTTTTCGGAAATTGTACTTTGAGATAGTTTGTATATGGCCTTTAGTTAAACCGATTGCAAAGTGATCACCGTTATGGTTAACTATGTGTACAGTTGGAGTAAAATCTAAAACTGATGTTGTATATAAAAGAAAATTTGAAAATCTGTAACTTTTATTATTATGGGTAAAATCATTTGTCTAAAATATTAAAAAAAAGTATGTTAGTTAAAGTTTTTTGGTTGAATATTTAATAAAAATAATAATTACTGGTAAAACATGTGAGATTTCAATATTGTAAACAAAAAAACCAATATTATCATGATCTGGGTCGTCATTTGTGTTTAAAAAATCTAGTTCGATTTTTTGATAATCTAGGTGTCTGTGAAGGAATACTCTTTTTGGTTTTGGTGTTTTCTTTTTCTTTTTCTTTTTGTTATTTTCATCACCTTGGTTTTCTTTTTCATCACTGTTTTCATTTTGACCTTCTTTTTCTTGATTTTCATTTTCGCTACTGCTTTCATCACTTTCACAGGAATAGGTATTATTTTCTTCGCCATCTTCAATTTTATTATCTATATTATCTATATTATCTATATTACTATCTATATTAACTATAGTATTTTCTGTTGTATTGGTTTGGATTTGGTCTGGATTTGTTAAATTATCAAGTTTTGCATCTTTAACTAAATGTGCAGCGTGAAATGTATTTGGTAATAAATTGTTTGAAGAGGGTTGTTGGGTTTGTTTTGGTAAATTTAAATTTGAATTTCTAAAAAAATCAACAAAAGAGAGTGGCATTGAACAGGTTTCAACAAATTGCTTTAAGTTGTATAAATCTCTTTCCATACGACTATTGTTCTCTTGCAATGAGGATATTTGATCTTGAAATACATTTTGAACTCTATTAACTTTATCTGATAGCTCCTCAACTTGTTGTTTGAGATTATCTAGTTCAGTTTTTTGCTGTTGTATTTGAAGTTGTTGGACCTGCTGTTTGGTTTCATCTAATAATGGAGAGCCTATAGAGCTAAAAGTTGGTAAATCTGGAGGTAGTTCAATTTGATCATTTTCCCTTAAAAGTGATAGAATTGGTGTTTCCCTAATAAAACTTGATTGGTTCGGAAATGGATTAATAGCTGATCTTTTTGATGAATTTGTTGAGCCACCAGTTATCGAGGATGAGGATTCATCTATTGATCTTTTTGATTGTGAAAAATTTGATGATGTTGTTTTGGGTGTATCTTGTTGATTGTCAAAATTATTTTGAATTTTTGGTGTTGAAAATTCAACAGGGCTACCTTCAATTGATAATAAATACTCTAAAATATGTGTTGCACAATCTTTTTCAGCATCTTTTTTATTCTTTCTCCACTCTGACTCTATTCTTCTATTATTGACTATAACAATTGTCTAAATAATTTTTTCAATTTATTAGTAAATAATAATATTATAATAATAATAATAATAATAATAATAATAATAATAATAATAATAATAATAATAATAATAATAATAAACATTGGATATAGTTACTTTAAAATCTTTATTATGTTCTGACCCCCTTGATTCCGATGTATAAACTATATTAGGTAGTTTTCTTTTTTGAATATATTCATTCAACTGGGTTTTACCAGTATTCATTTTATTATTATATTATATTATATTATAATACTATAGTAATCAAACAATATTAATAAAATTATTAAAGGTATCTATGAAATAAAAATAAATATAAAAAAAAAAAAAATTTTAAAAAAATTTAATAAAAAAAATTAAATAAAAAAAATCAAAAAAAAAACAAAAAAATTAAAAAAAAATTTAAAAAATTCAAAAAACTTAAAATTTTCATCAATTGAAAATTTAAGTTATTTAAGTTTTTTATTTTAAAGTTGCAAAAACCTATTTTTACCTTTTTTTTATGAAAATAGTAAAGTTTAAATTTAGTTATTGAACTATTATTTTATTTATGGGATCATCTTGATATACATTATGTATCGTAGTATCAAATGCTCTGTGGCTATTTCTACATTTAATTGTAAACTAAAGTAAAATAAAATGGCTAAAGTTTTAACTAACCAATAAAAATAAAAATAAAAATAAAAATAAAATTCCATCGATTTTAAAATGTAAAATATATTATTTTTATTTTTTTAATTTTAAACATATAATAATGAATATCCAGTTTTTTCATTACCATAAAATATAGTTCTTTTAAATCTCTTATATAATAAATAAAATGAAAACGATATTAAACAGGAGGTAATGATTGAAAACACCATAGCTGCTACATTTGAACTGTATGCTGACTCGTCAATAATAGTAGGGTCGAATTGAGATGTGTGGTTGGTTATATATCGTTTGAAACCAACTGAAAATATTACATTTGATAAAATAATTAAAAAAGTGACCAATAAAAAAAACATTCTGAATGATACTAAAAATTTGGAGTGTTTGGTTTTGGAATGTTTAATATCTATTAGCAATTGAACCAATATTAAAAATAAAATTAAAAAAGTTGCCAAATAATTTAAAAATACAATTGAATTTCCTGCTTGATGAATTTTAGCCAACTGTAAGCTGTCACTGTCAATACCCAATGTACAAACATTTTCATACTGTTCATTAAATTCGTCGCTATAGAAACAGGTAAATGGTAACAAATAATCCTGACCATTAATATACAATGTATTAATAGCACCACTGTCGCTACCATTATATTCGCTGCTGCTAGAATTTCTATTTAGCATTGCTTTATTTATTACAAACTCCCTTAGGGAGTAGGATATTATAATAGTTTCATTATATAGATTATTTGTATCTTTTTTATTTTCAAACTGATACCTTATAGTCATCCATTTAGATCCATCTAAAATAATATTAAAGGTAAAAAAACAATGATTAGTACTCTATTTTTTGATAAAACCACACTCTATTTTAGTTTTTTTTTCGTTTTTTTAAAATTTAGAAAAATATGAAAAAAATGACATTTAGATGGGGAGAATTAGTTTTTCGGAACACTTTACTTATGATTGGGATAATAATTAATATTGATATTATAAAAAACAAAAATAATGATATTACAGTTAACAATTTATATTTCTTCATTTATTTATTACAAATAGTATTTTACAAGATAAAAATTAAAATAAATTAAACAAAAAAAGAAAAAAAAATAAAATAAAATAAAAAAAAATAAAATAAAAAAATAATTAAAAAAATAATTAAAAAAAAATATAAAAATTAATTAAAAAAAAAATAAATTATTTATAAAACTAAGAAGTTGGAATAGTATGAAGTTTATAGTTATTAAAATAAAAAAATTAAATTAAAAATAAAAAAAAATAATAAATATTTATCATTTAATTTATTTTTTTAAACAAAGATATAAAAAAATAATGTGAGAAATTTTCATTATTTTTTTTTTTTTAAAGATAATTCCTAAGAAAATATCTTTATTAAATTATATATTATTTATAATTACTACTATTATTAAAAAGAAAATTGGTATTATACTTTTAATTTGCATTTCTCTGGTTTGGGGAATACATAACATCGGTTCTTACACAGTATTTAACACCTTTAGTAACGGGAGAACCACAATGATGTAGATTGTGTTCAAAAACCAATACCGAGCCCATTTTAGGTAAAACTTGAATTATATCCTCTTCATCCTCTTTATCTCTTGAGAATGAGGTTTCACCACCTTCTTCAACATGGTTTAAATATAATTGAATTGTGATATATGAACGCTCACCAAATTTAGGGTGTCCATGTTCTCTGGCATAAACGCCATCATAATGCCATTTAAACTCTTGACCTGGATGATATCTTAAAAATCTTAATCTATACGAATAAAAAAATTTGTTTAAATATTAATATATTTTAAAAAATAAAAAAATAAAAAAAAGAAATAAAGCATTGCCAAAAAACATTAAAAAACATACCTTTCATTTAAACTAACTTTTTTACAATTTGAAATAGTTTCTGGAATGTAGTTTTTAATTCTTTGGTATAGTTTATCTGCCATTTCTTCACTATCGATTATGCATCTTTCATTGTTTCTAATATTTGTCATGAGTTTTTGACGTCCATAACCAATATTTACGAGTGCTTTTTCATAACCTTGTTTCTCTGTCAAATCAATCCATTCTTTGCATTCTTTTTCTGTAAATACATTCTCGATAACAAATGCTATCTTATTTTGTTGGGGTTCAAACACTTGAGTTGTATTATAATTATTGTTATTGTTATTATTATTATTGTTATAATTATTTTTTGTCATTTTTAATATTTTTTATTATCTCTTTTTATTTATCACTTTAAATTCACACTGATTTTAATTTATATTTTTAAATTTTATTTTTTAAATTTTATTTTCTTTTTTTTTTCTTGAAAAAATATGAATTAAAGTGGTAAAAATAAATAAATTTATTAGAAAAAAAAAGGTTTGGAAAAGATATTGAAAAACCAAAGATTTACATTTTGATTAATAAATAATTTATATTAAATTTTAATTTATATTAATATTTAAATTTATATTAATAATCAAATTTATATTTAATATTAATTTTAATTTTAATTTTAATTTTATATTTATTTTTATATTTATTTATATTTATAGTTCTCTTTATGATGGTGTTAACTATTGTTTTTTCAATGTAGTTTTAAACAATAGAGATATTTATATTATTATTTATGTGTATATAATTTATATAAACCGCCATTATTTACCATAAATAATTTTCTTGTAAAAATTGAAAATTTGAAAAAAAAAATTAAAAAAAAAAAAAAATTTTAAAAAAAAAGATAATTTTTTTCATTAATTTATTTTTATATATTTATAATTTTATAGATGGACTTTTTAAATTCATTACCACCATTGGATAATAATAATATCAATGATTCATTTAACCCATTAGACAACAACAATAATAACAACAATAACAATAATACAAAAAAGAAAATTCATAGACTATCACCCGAAGTTGTAAATAAAATATCGGCTGGTGAAGTTATTCAAAGACCAAGCAATGCACTAAAAGAACTATTAGAAAATAGTTTAGATGCCAAGTCAACCAATATAATTATTACTGTTAAGGATGGAGGCATGAAATTATTACAAATTCAAGATAATGGCACAGGTATTCGTTTAGACGATATGGAAATTGTGTGTGAACGTTTTACAACAAGCAAGCTAACAAAATTTGAGGATCTTAGAAAAATAGCATCATTTGGTTTTAGAGGCGAAGCTTTATCAAGTATTAGTCATGTATCTCACTTAAAAATACAAACTAAAACTGCCGATTCAAACTGTGCATATCGTGCCTGTTATTTTAATGGTAAATTATCACCCTCAAATCCCAATGACCCATCATCATGTGACCCAAAACCATGTGCTGGTGTAAATGGTACCCAAATAACTGTAGAGGATTTATTTTTTAACACACCATCAAGAAAAAGTGTTTTAAAAAACTTTAGTGAAGAGCATTCCAGAATTTCTCAACTCATCAAAAAGTATGCAATAAATAACCCAAAAGTTGGATTTACCTTAAAAAAACTAGGCGAACCCACACCCGAAGTTATTACCAGTGGAAATTTAACTGAACAAGATGTCATTTCGTCATTATTTGGTAATGATCTAGCAAAAGATTTAAAAGAAATCACCTTAAAGTCTGATAAGTTCGAATTCGACGTTAAAGCTTTAATTACAAATACAAATTACAATTCAAAGAAAACAAATTTTATTTTATTTGTTAATGGTATGCATATTTAAAAAAAAAAAAAATTAATTTTATATATTCTAACATTTAAAAACTATAGGTCGTTTAGTTGATTCTAAAAATTTAAAAGTTGGTTTAGAACAAATTTATAGCAAATATTTACCTAAAGGAACACATCCATTTATGTTTTTAAGACTATTAGTTGCCCCAAAAAACATAGATGTTAATATTCATCCAACAAAAAGTGAAGTTAAAATCTTGCACGAAGATCAAATAATTGAAATTATTCAACAAAAAATTGACGAAGAATTGAGTGTTTCATCCAACTCCAAAACCTTTTCAACTCAAGTACTCTTACCTGGATTTGATAATGACCAACAGACATCATCCCAAAAGAAACAAAAAACTTCAGCAACAGCATCACAAACTAAATCATCTTCGTCATCATCATTAAAAGATAGTAACAATGGAGAACCAAAACAAAGAAAAGAACCTTTAGAATATGATAAAGATAAAGTTAGATCGGACTCAAGAACCCAAACCCTGCATGCCTTCCTAAATCCTTTAGATTTTAACGATGCCGATGCTGATGAAAGTAATGACAATAGTAGGAGCAGTGTAAATAATAAAAGCAAAGGTGAAAATGAAAGTGGTGATTTTAGAGATAATGAAGGGTTTGGTGATTTTGATGACGCCCCACCCCGCGATATTGATGATCCGTTTAATAGTATAGTTAATATTACACCAATCAAACCAAATAACAATAATGATATTAATAATAACAGCAATGATGATACCACAACAAAAAACAACACAATAAATAGTCCAACTGACCAAGATAATGTAAATACTAAAAAACGAAAATCATCATCATTAAAATCTACAGATAATCAAGAATTAAAGAATCAAGTATCCAAAATGTCAGGGCATACATTTGTTCAAACTAGAAAAACTAGAAAATATAAACAAGTAGAACTAACCAGTATTAGATCATTAATTTCACAGACCCAGGACGATAGCCACGAAGGTTTACAAGAATTTTTCAACAACTGTGTTTTTGTTGGTTGTTTGGACCATGCCTATGCACTTGCACAATTTGGAAAAAAGCTTTATCTTTTAAATGTTGAAACCATCACCAAAGAACTATTTTATCAACTATCTCTTTCAAGATTCTCTGATTTTGACTCGATTAGGTTCAGCCAACCACTTTCTGTATATACACTATTATTAGTATCATTAGATTCACCAGCATCAGGATGGATGGAATCAGATGGTCCAAAGGATAAAATTGCTGATCATCTAACAAATTTAATTATTTCCAAAAAAGATTTACTCAAAGAATACTTTTCAATCGAAATCGATGATCAAGGTATGCTTACTTCAATACCTCAAGTGTTGGACCACTATGTACCATGTACCGATAATTTGCCAATATTCCTATTAAAACTATCAACCGAAGTAGAATGGGAATTTGAAAAAGAATGTCTCTTGGGTATAGTTAAAGAAATATCATCGTTTTATAAAATTGAACCCTCATTTATCAAACTTCGTGATTTACAAAATTTACAACAACAACAGCAACAGCAACAACAAGACAAACCAAACCAAACCAATGTAAATTATATTAAAAAAGATGGCAAAGAATGGACCATTCAACATTTAATTTTTCCAGCATTCAGAAAACTTTTACCGCCAAAAAGATTTGCCAATGATGGCTCAGTAATTCAAATAACATCTTTGGATAATCTATACAAAGTTTTTGAAAGATGCTAAATAAAATTTAATCACACTTAAATTAATTTTAATTTATTAAAATATTAATTAATTTGTTTTTTTACACATAAAAAAAAAAAAAAAAAGAAAAAGATAGAGTTTTTTTAGTATTGCATTTGTATTATATTTAAAAAACAAATTATTAAATTTGTTTTTTTATATATATTATTATATTTTAGTTTTTTAATTTTTTTATTCGTATTTTTTTTTTAAGTTTTTTTTTTTTTTTTTATATTATTATATTTTATTATTTATTATCCGTTATATAAAATAATTATTTTGATAAGATTTCTTTATTTTCGGCTTTGTATTGATCAAAAGTGGATTTGAATTTGTTGGCAGCTAAAAAGAAAAAAAAAAAAAAAAAGAAAATTAATATCCTTGCACAATAATAATATATTTTTGATTATAATATTTACTTTCGGATGAACCAAATCTGATGGCGAAAAGTTCTGGGACACCATTTGGGAATTCTTCATCTGAAAAATCTAATGGACATTTCCAGGTCCAAGCTCTGTCTGAACCTTGCATTGGTTCTAATGATAAATTTGGATCGACAAAGTGATTTAAACAAACTTTATGGACTTTTTCACGTCTCATAACAATTCTAACTTTACCAGTTTTTTTATCCTTTAAGAATCTAACATTACCAATACCTCTTTCTTTCCATTGTGGAGTTTCAGTGGTATCAAATCTGAATAATCTTGAACGTCTATAATTAAAATAATAAATATTAGTTTATAATACCCTATATTATAATTTACTATCTATATTATCTCTATTATTATTATACTATTTGTTAACTATTATTACTATTATCAATTATTATTATTATTATTATTATTATTATTATTATTATTATTATTATTATTATTATTATTTATTTGTTTATATATTTGTTTATTTATTTGTTTATTTAATTATTTATTATATATTGTTGATTGTAATTAATTTTTTAGATAGCTATTGTGAAATAATTGATTTTTTTCACAAATAACAATTGATTTGAAAAATTATTTGTTTTTTTTTTTATAATTATTTTTCATTATTTTTTAAAATAGATTAATTTCAAACTTTGAACATACTCATCATAAACAACTTCTTCGTCTTCTTCATTGTTTGAAATTTTAGTTTCTTCTAATTTTAAACGAACACCAAAATCAACGTTTGGTTCAGAGTCTTCAGCAGTTTCAACAGCTTCTTCTTTTTTTTCTTCAGTGGTGGTTTCTGCTGGTGCAACAACAGATTCTTCTTTTTTTTCGACAACTTCTTCTTTCTTTTCAACAACTTCTTCTTTTTTTTCGACTTCTGACATTTTTATATTGGATAAGTTTAATTTGATTAAAGATTAATTAAAACAAACAAAGATTGATGATAAAAAAAAGAAAGATAAATATTATATGTATACAAATGGATATGTGATATTTTTTAAAAAATTTTTTAAAAATTTTTTATGTGGTGGAATTTTGATTTTTTTAAAAAAAAATTTTAAAATTTTTTTTTAATTATTATTTTCATTTTCTATTTTTTTTTCCAATTATCATAATTTCTTCAAATGAATTATATAAATAGAAATTCTTTTTTTTTTTTTTTTTGAGTAAACCAAGAGTCTATTCTTTTAAATGAAGTTTTGACCAAGTTCATTATAATAAACAATTTATAAATAAACAAATAAACAAATAAACAAATAAACAAATATATAAATAAATATATATATATATAATAAATAAATAAAACAAAAATTTATTTTTCCCCAAACCAAAATAAATATAATTAAATTAAAAAATAAAATGAACTAAAAAAAAATAAAAATTAAAAAAAAATAAAAAAATAAAAAAAAATAATAAAATTATGAATCCCAATTAAGGATATTTTATTTTTAAACTGTATTATTTACCAAAATCATGATTAGATTACTTATCTATTTTATTAACTATTTGTTCGATTTTTATTTATATGAACTCAATGTAGTGGGTTTTAAAGGGGTTTTTAGTCATTGAACAAAGTTATATTTAAAAATGCCAAATATTTAAAATATTCTAAATGGTTTATAATAATAATAAAAATTTAATAAAAATAATAAAAACAATTATAATAGTACAAAAAAAAAAAATGTTTCGAATATCAATGTCCAGATCCTTATCCGTAAGCAGCAGCTAAACCGGATAATGTAAGACCAAAAGGAGGTAAATAATAATAGAAATAATAAAAAATTAAAATAAAACGGTTAATTTTTTAAAAATGATTTATTTAGTATAACAAATTAGTTTATTTCATCATATTGATTGAAAGGATCTAGGCATAAAAAGTTTGTCTGCTAGTACCGACACCACCTTTTTTTGAACCACCATTTGCAATTTTTTCTTTTTTAAAAAAAAAAATTAATATTTATAATAAAATTAAAAAATTTAAAAATAAAACTGCTTACTTCCACCGAAAGGCCACCACCACATGTTTATTTATATATTAATATTTATTAGAGAATAAAAAAAAAAAGTAAAATTATAAAATTATAAAATAAAAATAAAAAAATATTCGGACTTTTTGATCTTTTAAAAACCAATAAAAAAAAATTAAAAAATTAAAAAAAAAATAAAAAAAAAATAAAAAAAAAATAAAACCATAAACACCTTAGAATAAAAAAATAAAATAAAATTGTTTCAGCAAAACAAAAAAATCTTTTCCTAGCCTAAATATTTATTTATTAAAATAATGGGTTTTTTTTGAAATGGCGATTATGGTTTGAAAATTCCTTTTAATCCCCCAGTGAAAATGGGTTTGGAACCATTTTTTGTTCCTCCTTGGGCTTGACCTAGAAAAATAAACAAAAAAAAAAAAATTGTGATTTTTATTAATAAAATTATAAAGATATTTTGAACCAAACACAACCAAAAATAATAATAAAAGTGAAAAATAAAAAAATAAAAAATGAATTATATAATTTAAATTTATTACCTCTGCCTAATCCACAGTTATTCATTTTTTTATATTGATATTTGTTTTTGATTTGTTTGTATTTAAAAAAAAAAGAAAAGAAATTTTTTTTTTTTTGAACAGCTAAAAAAAAACAATCACAAAATAAAATTATGGGTGGGAAAAATAAAAAATCTTATTTTTGGTGCAAAGTGAAGTGTATTTTTGCAGCAAAGATTCTTTTTAGATATTTATTTGTAGTAATACCTTTAAATAAAATGAATAAAAAAAAATCTTTTTTAATTTTTATTTGAATTTCTTTAAAAATATCAAATTACTAAATATAAAGTTTAGATATTTTTTATAAACATAATACTTTTTTTAAACATTTTTTTCACAAAAAAAAAATTATTTACAAAGATAAAAAAACAAATAAAATATTATATTATAACTTGAAATTTTTTAAACCAAAATATATTTTTTTCACCAACCTCAATAGAAACTTTATATACTAAAATATAAAAAGAAAATCAAAGGTTTCTTCTTTTTAAATTTTTAAACGAGGGTTGAACAGAGGTGGTCAAATCCACCATGTGTTTATTTTCACCAAAAAATTAATATAGGGTTTTTTGTTTTTTTAATTTTTTTCTTAAAAATTTTTAATTTTTTTTTAATTTCCTAATATTTTTTTTTTAATATAAAACTTTTATTCATTTAATATACTTTAATTAAAATAATATAAGTTATGTTTTACTTGTTAAACTTAATAGATAATAGTAATAGTAGTAATAGAAGTATAGATATTGTTTTTTTTTTAGTTTGGAGAAATACATATTTATTAAAACTAGTACACCACCACCAAAGATTATATATTAAATATGAATATGGTGTTTTCAATAATATAAAAGAATTAAATGAATACAGGTTTAAAGATTATTTAAAAAAAATTACTCTACAGGGTAAAATAGAAATTGTCAGTAATACATTAATTTACAAAGATATATTTGCAGGAGGAGAGGAAGGATACACAATACCACCACGGATAAATACATTAGAAATCGATTCGGATTCACCAATTATGGCCAATAATATTCCAGATAGCATAGATACATTACATTTTGGAATGGGATTCAATAAACCTTTGTATGCTCTTAGCACCAACCTTTCTTTAACCAGCTTATCACTTGGACACTACTTCAATACAGAGATTTTACCAGGAGATTTACCAGTATCTTTAAAGACTCTTATATTCGATGGATGTACATTTGGTAGAAAACTAAGAGCTCATATATCATTTAGTAATTGGCAATTTTACGGATCTAGTTATAATAAACCTTTTCAAAAAGGGGCGTTACCACCATCTTTAACACACTTAGAGCTTTCCGAAGACTACAACCATCCTTTTAAAGAGGGTGATTTACCACCAGGTTTGTTAGTTCTCGCTTTTGGGAGTTGGTATGATCAACCCATCGGACGTAATGTCTTACCAAGCAGCTGTCAATCTATTCAATTTGGTTTTAAATTTAACCAGCCTATCAGAGAAAACTCATTACCTATATCTTTAACCCAATTAAGTTTTGGTTTAGAATTTGACCAACCTATAAAATTGAATCAATTACCTAATAGCCTTCAATACTTAAAGTTTGGCCCTTTATGGAATCATCCTTTATCATACTATAATCTACTTTCAATGTCAAAAAAATCAATATTACCAAATTCACTGACGCACTTGGATCTCTCTTATTGCAAGTTCGATCAGGTTTTATCCAATGGGGATATACCAAGCACACTTAAATGTTTAAAACTACCAAAAAATTACAACAAACCACTATTATTTATAGTTAGTAGTTTAAATGTTATTTTTAACCAAGAATAAAAGAAAAAATAAAAAGTAAAACCAAATAAAATTAATTTATTTTATTATTTATATAGCTTTTATTTATTTTATTTTAAAAAATTAACCATGCTATTATTTATATAATCTATTACTTAAAATATTATTAATTTTGTTTGTTATTTCTATCGAAACTGATTGGATTTGTAAAAGAGATTGAGTAGATTGATTTTCTAATAATTTGTTTTTGATATCATTTATCAAACCTAAAACATTTTCATCTTGCAAATATTTATTATTATTGCCGTTGCTGTTAGCACTATTATTATTGTTGTTATTGTTGTTATTGTTTGAAAAGCTGGTTGAGGAGTTTCTAGTTAACTTTTGTTGTTCATAAATTTCTAATTGGTGATCGGTCATTGATTGGGTTGCGGCGTCATTTTCAACTTGTTTTGTAATTAAAACATATTGATCTGTTGGTGGATCAGAAAATTTAAATTTCTTTTTATTATTTGCATTTGTATTTGGGTTGTAATTTACAGTGGTGTTTGATGGTTGGTATTGATTTAATAGTTTATTATCATTATTATTAACTTTTTTTAATTGGGAGTTTGGTAATACAAAGTCATCGTACGATTCATCTAGATCAATGCTTTCATCATTAATCTCATTTGGACGTTTTGTTTGCTGTTGCTGTATATTATCATCATTGAAATTTGGTAGTTGTATTGAAATTTGATCTTTTAATTTTTTTAAAGTTTTTGATAATTTGCTTGGGTACTCTAGTGATTTCGAATTTATATGTGTACCAAAAGTTTCGTTCCAAAAATATAAAGCTTTTTCTTTAATTTCATTTACTGGTGAGGTGAAGGCACTGATTAATAACAGCTCTAATTGTTCCAATAGTTTACTATTGTATTTATAGTTTGAGGAATTTATGCTACTGGAGGTGGTAATATTATTTTGTATCAAGGTTTCCAAAGTTGTATCCCAAAGATTAATAAAAGAGTCTCTAATTAGTGTCAGTTGATACTTTTCTTGGCTATCTAATTTTGAGGTAATTGATGGCAGTGGTTTAGTATCTTTAATGTAGAGTATTAAAGAGCTTTCCATGTTCTCTAATAAAACAAGGCAGAGGGTCGACGATTTGCATTTCTTTAAAATATTTGTAATAGTGTTGAAACATGGCACCAAGGAATTGATGATCAAGAATGGTTGGGAGTTGTTTAATATTGGATTGTTTGATATCATTTTGGAGAAATGACAATTGACTAAAAGATTGCTAAGGTTTGATAGTATTTTTGGAAGTTGGGCATCTTCAAATTCGCCCTCTGATTGATTTTTCATATTTTTTTGTTTTCTTTTATTCGCATAGTTGTTTGTAATTGAAGCACCATTACCATTTATGAATGATAGATCATACAGTTCTAATAGGGGAATTGATGTTGCTAGAATAAAATCGTAGTAGTTTTGGTGGTTTGTTAATTGAAGGTCGTCTATTGTTTGAAATATATATCCGATGGAGGGATTGGTACTGGTTTTAATAGAAAAGATTCTACACATTGATTGAAGAGTGTTTTTCCAAAGTTTACTGTTTGAGGTGAGAATTTTACATGGATCCATACTATTATCACTAGAGTATGGTGTTCCAGCAACAGCTCTTAGAGGCCATAATAAAAGATTCGATATTGATTCTAGAATACAATCGATCATTGTTGGAGGTAAAGTTAATAGTACATGGGATCTTTCGATGAGTTTATGAACAGTTGAGGTTAAAATACTCCAAAGCCTTAAGAGATAGCAAAGAGTGGTTTCATTATCTAAATTATCGTTCATTACACCAATGATAAAGTTGAGACGATTTGACATGTCCAATGGTTTACTAAAAGTGATAGTTAGTAACTCTTCAAAAAGTGGTAGTAGATGTTCTTTAGTTTGCTCGCTGGTTAATTTGAAGCCAAATTCTATTATATTTAAAATGAAAAAGTCGATGGGAATATAATCTTTGCCACTATTAATATTTTTGATTAGGTATTGATTCGAGTCTGAGCCACCACCAATTAAAATTGAACTTTGGATGGATTGAATGGTATTTTTGTATATAGTTTGATAAAAGAATAATGTACTGTCTTCATCTGGTTCTATTTTCATTTGTTCGAAAAGTTGCTGAAGGAAAAGTAAAAGATCTTTTAAAAGTAATAAATATTTTTCATCCTTGGTATCTATATTTGACATTCTTTTTAAAATTGCATTCCATAATTCAATCTTTTCATTAAAGCAAAATTGAGGAGTATTTGAATCTGATAAGATGTATCGTGACTGAATTGCAAGTTTAAAGGGCTCTAAATTACCAAGTAACCATTCAGATGCGTTGATATTTGTAAACACTAATGGAATAGTTTCTAAAACTACATCGTATAGTGCCTGTAGTTTCTGTTTTGCAGATTTTCTAACCTCTTGTGATGGTGATGTTATTGATACTAATAAAAGTAATGCGTTTTCACCTAGATGATAATCTGCGATATTTTCAATTTCGTTTGGTGGGGTTTGTTGGCTTTTTGAGAAATTTGGTTTTTTTAAAATATTTACATAAATTGGAGTAAAAACAATTGGAAAAACTTCATAAAGTGATTGTTTAAATTGCTTCAATAGGTACATCCAGCTTGAAAAGCTTGCTTTTTTGACATCAACATCTTTTTCGGTTGCGAGTGATAATGAAAGTGGTGCTATAAATAACTGCATTTTCTTTTTTTCTTTTTTTAAATCTGAATCCCTTGATGCACCTTCCATAAACAACTTCCAATTATTAAATGATTCGATTTTTATGAGTTTATTATCATTTTTAAATGAGATCTTTTTAAAAATAAAAATGGGATTAGTATTTAATTTATTTTTTAGTTTTTTTATTTTATTTTTTTTGCATACCTCTGGAATTGGAGTGAGTTGATTTATAACACGATCGACAAATGGAGCATTTGCCAAAAAGAAGGTATAAAAGGTCCAATATTGAATTGCCAATACTTCATTTTTGCTTTTTAAAAGAATTTCTAATTTTTGCATGTATTCTTGACGACACTCTAATAACTTGAATGATAAATCTTCTGGTACTGATATATTCTTTTTTTGATAATATTCAATTAAAAAGCATAGTATTTCTTTTAATTGTTCTATTTGGCTGTTATAAAATGAAATAAAGTTTTGTTATTAATATATATATATATATATGGCCCATTGGATTGACAGTATGTATTTACACTACTTACTTTATTAAATTTTCAACTCTAAATAACTTATTAAACACTAATGGCAGCCAATCTTGAATGCTGTCTAAATACAATTGAATGTTTTGTTGAAGTAATGTATTGAATGAATTTAAAATTTCACTTTCGATAGTTTTTGAATTGAAAGGTGTCTCTGATAATAACTTGATATAGGTTTCAGGTAATTTGGTGCTAATTGGACCATTTTGAAAGCTTTGACTTGAAAAGCACCAAATCGCATAATTGCAAATATTTTTATTTTTCGTTATACCTATAGTGTTCTCTATTAATTTGGTGATTTCTTTAACTTGTGAATCCATTAATACCTTGACGGTGAAAGATGAATAGAGAAAATATCCCAATGATCTTAACGAGAAAATTGCCAACTTATCAATTTGGGAAAAAAGAAGTGAATTTTTACTTTTCTCTTTTTGTGACTGACTTTGCTGATTGTTACTGCTTGTAATATGAACTTGAAAAACATTTATAAATTTTAATACCGAGTTGGATAGACATGAGGATAATGCTTCATTCTCTTCACAATCTTTTAAATAGTTGATAAGTTCATTAAATGACTCCTCAACCTGGCTAAATAATCTATTGTGTTGATTTATATCGATTGATGTGACTTTATTGGTTAAATTTAAATTTTGTTCTAAAACTTTTAAAATTTTTGAAATATTTAAATAATATTCATTCATTTTTAATGAAAATGTATTTATTGTTTAAAATAAAAAATATTTATATACATATATTATTATTGCTATTATTATTATTACTTTTTTTTATTATTTGTGAAATGAATGAAAAGAAAAAAAAAAATTTAAAAAAATTTAAAAAATTAAAAATAAAAATTTTTAATATTTAAAGCGGGAAATTTTATCCAATCAAAGTCATTGCAAAATTTATATAAATATTTTATTTTATATATTAGTTTAAATATAAATAATGATTGATTTAAAGTAGGGAAAAATAAAACATCAAAAAAAAGTATTTTTTTTTTTTTTTATTTGTATTATAAAAAAGTATTATTTTATTTTTTAATAAATATTTTTAATATAAAAAATGTAAAAAATAATAACAATATATTATTATAAAATATTATTTTTATATTTGATTTTAGGGAGTTTGACTGATTGAATATTGGTGATATATAGAAATTGGCATCACCAAAATAAAAACTAATATTTCCAGCGTCTGTGTATAGGATACCCATTGTTAGCGTGTATGCATTCAACAAAATCTTTTTAGACTCGCAATCTACAAAATTATACTCTAACAAATTACATTCCAACTTTATTCCTTCCCAGCAAAAGTCACTTTTAACTACCAATACGCCCATTGACCTGTATCTATCTAATGATACCTTATCACTCTCACTATTTATAAAACAAATATGTTAAAAGATATTAATACAATAAATAAATATATAATAGAATAATAACTATAATGTTTTTAATTATTTACCTTTCTGAAACAACACAATAATCTTTTTCTAAATAGTTTAAATGGGAATATGTAATTATTGTTCCATTTTGACATTTGTTAAAATTATAATATGTTTTACACTCGTCAGAATCGCATTCGCATGGGGAGGTGTAGCAATCTGCCCATGTGTTATTCATTTGTTCTTTATCGCAAATCATCTTTAATGACTCGAGCCATAACATTCTAAAACAATAATTGGGTTTTGTTAAAGCGGCTCTTATTATAATTGGATCACCTGAGCAATCTTCATTTGCATAATTTGTAAAAACTAATTCTTTGCCTTCCGTAAAATTCGATTCTTTACTACAAAATAATATTATTATTAAAAACATTAAAAAATAATTTATAACTAATTTCATTTTTAATTTATTATATATTATTATATATTATTATATATCTATTATTAATTATTAACTATTAATTATTTATTTCTTATTATTTATTTATTATTAATATATTATTTGTTTAAATGGTAATGATACAATGAAAATTAATTTTTAAAAATATAGACAGATTATGTATATGTGTGGGTATATAGTTATATTATGATTAAATTATATTTAATTTTATATAATTCTTTTGATTGGATAAATGATTATATTTAAAATTTAGAGTATTATAAAAAAAAAATAATTAAAGTTATTTAAATATATTATTTTTAAATTTTAATTTAAAATTTAAATAAAAAAAATAAAATATTAATTTAAAAAAAATGTATTTTAATTATACTTTAAATTATTTATATTTATTTATTTTTATTTTATTTTATTTATTTTTTTTGTGTATATTTTTAATGAGAGAGTGGGTTGGAAAATAGAAAAAAATAATCTCAAAATAGAAAAGATAAAATAAATATAACTCATGATTATATGTGAAAATAATTGTGTGTAAGTGTGGGTTTGGTGTGTGTATAGAGACAAAAAAAAAGAAATTTTTATGTGTGTGGGTGTGGGTTGTTGAGTGTGTAATTGTGTGCCCTTAAAAACACTAATATAAGTGGTAAGAAATTGAATGTGCGGTATTTAACTATATTGCATTATATATCATTATATCATTAGTTAAAATGCTTAAATATGGTGGTATGTAAATTATAAATAGTATGTGTGACATTTATAAACTTAAGTATTATTTTTATATGTAATTATGTTTCTATAAAAATATTTAAATTATATTTTTTTGTGATGGGTATACAGGTTTGTGTGTTATATTATGTTCC